TATATATATATATATATATATATATATATATATATATAGTAGAATAGCTACTTCTTCTCGTGCCACTCCTAGCTTAGATTGGAAATCATCATGGCCACTGCGACGACTTTGTTAGCAGCGCGCCTAAAAAGTTCAATCGAACTACACCCGAACCATTCACGTAGATTACGAAGCCACGATATTTTTCTTCTTCCCACACTTCTTTTGCCCTTAATTTTGCCCTGCATGATGTTTCTTAAAAGTTCGTACTTTCACCTCTCACAATGTGCCCCAAGTATTCCATCTTTCTAGTTTTTATCTCATTTAGAATTTCGCATCTTTTGTCTAAAGTTTGGAGTACTTGCGTGTTAGTGACGCGGTCCATCCATGATATTCTGAGAATGCGCCTATAGCACCACATCTCGAAAGCTTCGATGTTTTTTATGGTCAACTGTTTTAGTGTCCAACCCCTTAACTCCATATAATAGGGTAGAAAAGACATAACACCGCAGCATTCGTATTCGTAACTTTATATTGATAACACGATTGCAAAAGAGTTTGCGCATTCTATTAAAGACTGATCTAGCGATTTCTATTCTACATATAATCTCTTTTGTTTGATCAGTATCGTCTGTGATCTAAGCACCTAGATATTTATAACAGGGCACACGCTCAATCGTTGTATTGTCTATTACAAGATTAGCTCTGATGTTCTTTGATTTCGTGATTACCATAAATTTAGTTTTTTTCAAATTAATTTTCAAGCCGTAACTGTTACAGTATATATTGAGACTTTGAACGAGATGTTGTAGTTCTACTAGCGTTCCCGTTAGGAGAACTGTATCGTCAGCATATCTTATATTGTTGCTCGTCTCACCATTTATTATCAGACCAAGATCTTCTTCCTCAAGTGCTTGTTCACAGATAGCTTCACTATACAGATTAAATAAAAATGGCGATAAGGTACATCCCTACGGACTCCTCGACGGATTTGAATTTCTTCTGTTAGTCTGCCCTCAACCTTGACATTTGCTGTTTGATTCCAATATAGATTGCATATAATTCGAATATCTCGGCTGTCTATATTTTTCTTTATTGGAACTTGTCTTAGTGGTTCATGTTGTACTTTGTCAAAGGCCTTTTCGAAATCAATAAAGCAGGCGTAAATTTCTTGGTTCATGTCTAAGCATCTCTGTGAGAGAACGTTCATTGCAAACAGAGCCTCCCTTGTACCCAGCCCTTTTCTGAATCGCGTCTGAGTGTTACTGATGTCTACGTCTAATTTCCTATAGATCCTATTATGGATTATTTTTAAGAACAGTTTTAGAGCATGACTCATCAAAGCTATCGTACGATATAGTAGAATAACACTACTACTTAATTAAATTAGAAGTAGATTTTTTATTGATTCTAGTAATTGTATTCAACCCATTATTATTAATGGGTTGAATACAATTTACTTTTTTTAATTCTTTTGAGTACATAATTGGGATTAATGCATGCAGTGCAAAATTTTGAGCACATATTTGGGGAAAATACATGTAGTGCAAAACGTACTTTAGCATACTAACGTACCTTAGTGTAAAAGCCCTTAATAATTTTGGGACCAGCGAGCCTTTGTTTTCTTTTTAATATTATTTGTAGTTGATTAGGAGTTAAATAAAATTTTAAAAATATATTTTGCTTTTTCCTCAAACTCAGTTTCGATATCCAGTTTAGCTGTCTTAAGTTCTCTAATCCATAATTGTTTGTTTTCAGTATCTTCTTTTTTAGAAGTTTTTGTTGAAGTTTCACGTTTTGTTGTTACTAAATTTTCTTTTTGATATATCTAATACTGATTCTTTATTACATGAAGGTATTTCTGGTAAATCAATATGTTGGGTAAAAGTATTCATTTGTATTCCTTTCATCTGCTTCTCTTTTGGATTCTGTAAAATTATATGTTCGACATCTCTGTTTTATTTCCTTCCATGCGTTTTGATCTTATACTTATTTCTTACTAATGAAAGTTATTAATATTCTTTCTCTTTCAAGTTATTACTAATGATGTTTGTTTGTTTTTTAATTCATTTTGTAAACTGAATCACAGCCACACTCAAAATCAGCTTTTTAGGTTGTAAGTTTTAATAGTTTAGCTTTTACATAGTCTTCAATGCGAAAGTATATATCACAAACTCTTTTATTAACACAGGACAACTTATCCTTCCTACGACACTTGCTGACCCATTGCTTTTGAATTTTTATTTTTTTTTTTAATGTAAAACTGAATTCATTATGTAAATGTAAACATTAAATTCCTTTCATTCTCTTTGGACTTTTTTGAATTATTTTTGCAGATCAGTTCACTGCAAATACTTCCACCAGTCATCCTAGATCAATAAAAAAACATTTGAATTAATGTATCTTGAACATTTTCCTGCATTAATCCCAATGTTACCTTTACTATATAATACAGCAGAATAGAGATAAAATCCAGTTCGTAGGTACTTAACGCAGCTACATTAAATGTGTCTTAATACTTGTATAAGAGTTTTGGGTTCAAATTATATACTAAAAACACTCAATGATATCTATACACATTATATCTCAAGATATAAACAAAAACACTACTGTTATTTAACACCAAAATATATTCTCTAAACCACTTATCCTATTCTGTTCTCAAACAATTCGTAAACTTGACCCCCTGGGTGACGTCACGGTAACATATTTCATTCTGTCAAATTCAGAGTTACCATGCAACCTGTCTTTTATTAACCTTGACCCGGGTAGAAGAAATCACAAATCAAAAACATTGTTTTCGATTTTCTCTCGGTTTAAAATAATGGCAACGTCGAATATTGTAGGAAATGACAGATTCATAGATAAATTTGAATGATTTGAATTTGAAGTTTGATTAAATTTTTTAAGCTACTCCAAGCAAGAAGAAAATATCTATAGAATAACTAAATTATATGGTGGATTTTATTACAAAAAAATAAAATTTTACTTCACGGAAAAACCAAGCCTTCAGAAGCTAACAACAAGCTTGTTGAAAAATTATGGGATGATCTTACTTTAGTTTTAAATGCTATGGGTTGTGGTCACAGCAAATTAAAATTTCAATGGAAAAATGTATTTAGTTGTGTTTGTTATTATACAGTATTATATAAAGATTTGCTGATATAGCTACCTGTTAAATTTATGATTGTTTTTAGACTTTCATTGACCGGAAAAGCCATACAAAGAAAAAGGTCCGAGATGCTATTAAAGCTAAAAATAAGACGGGCGGGGGTGAAGCAGTGTTAAAAATATTAAATCCTGTATAGAAGTATTTCATTATGATGGATAGTCAAAGTTTTCCACTTGATCCATCAGCTAAGAAGTTGGTAAGTTTTTTTTATGCAACTGCACAAACGTTTATTCAAAATACCTATTATTTTTTTAAATTATTTGCCGAGTGAAACCCTGTTGAGGTAAATTGATCATTACAATATATTTATCGAATTATGTAAATGTTACAAATTTTTTTAATAACAAAAACATTTCGCTTAGAAATTCATAGCATGTATAAAGAATTTTCTTATATATAGTAATTATATATATAAAAAAAAATATATTTTATAAAAACAGTTAGGCTAATTTAGTTTATATCGTTGAGTTGCGCCAAATGTAGGCAACCAACTTAATCTTTTTAGTAACATTTAGCTTGAGTTTTTTGAGAATATTTTTAATAAACATTTTTAGTGTTTAAGAGGTGTTGCGGCTATCGAAGAAGTTGATAATTTAATTATCATGATAGAAAATACAGGACAAAGAAAAACTTTTAAAAAAAGAATAAATCTCTTTTTAAAATACACTGATAGAGAATTTAGAATAAAATTTCGGTTTTCTAAAGATAGTGTAAGGTTTTTTGCAATTTTAAAATACTCAAATTCAACAGATAACAAATAAAGATATATAAGGTGTCAGTTGTCATTGTCAGTTTCAAAGAAAAATCAAAATTGACATATTTCACTCAATAAGTCGTTGTTCTATGTATTTGTGCAAAAGATTGCGACATTGCCAAACTATTATTTCGGAATAAAGTCTGAATACTTATAACTAACTTATACCGTGTTTATTTGTAACAAATTATTTTAGTATTATACTTACCTTATACTTAGGATAACTATTCTAGGTATAAATACGATATTTCAAATGATATATAATCACAAAACGTACTTAATATTGTTTATATAATCCACATAATAAAGTACATTAGATAAAAAAGTTAAAATCCCGGGTCGTCCAAAACTAGTTTCTGATAGAAATAATAGAATATTAGTATAAGTTTGCAAAAAATGCCGACAAAATACTCTAATGAAATACGCTATGAGCAAGTGTGCTTGTTGTATAGTAATTTCCAGTTACTTCAAGTCTGTCAAAAAATAAACTAACTTCGCAAAAAATAATTACTAAATTCACTAGACAGTTGGGACTGGGATTAGCGAACCGACTATACCATCTAATGACATTTCTATTCGACTTGACAATTTCGATTTGATGTTACTCATTTCTATCATCGAAATGAGTTACGGAATAAGTCTCATTTGAGGCTATCTTCAGCTTTTAAAGAACCAATATTTTGTTCTGTAAGCTTCATTTAAGGCTATCTTAACCCATGATTATTACAAATTATGTCCAATAAATTATAAATGAAAACAAAAGTATTAAATTAAATAGAATAATTTTAATTTTTTTACATACGGTCAACTCTGCATATTATAGTCGCGTACGTGGCAACATCTATTTTTGCACAGAACATTTTGTCTACTGGGAATAACAGATAAAAGGCAATGGAGAGGGAAAATTTAAGATTATTAATCTTCGGAATAATCGCTCATTCCATTCCTCATCGGCAATTGATTCCTTCTAATCGCCTAATCCTGAGTGAATTGTGAATTGTGCAATAAATTATTTGATTTATTATTATTTTATTATTAAATTAATTAAATTATTATTTAATTTAATTATTTAAGTGAATTAAACAAACTCCCATTATGTCAGTTTTAGAAAAAAGTAAGTATTTTTTAATTTTTTGTTTTTTATTTGTTTAATAACTGGTTGCATTACTGGAGGTAATTCTTTATTTTGCGCGACTCTTAGGTGTTTTTCTGAAAAATGGCTTTGGCAGAGCGAATTAACCGACTTGTTTATGTTTATTGTTAACATCGTCTGAATTTTAATTATTATTGATTGCAGATTTGTAGTCAAAATTTTCTTATTATCAGTTATCATGGCAATGTTGGTACTTTTACCTAATATTTTTATGAATACATAAATTTTGTTTTCGATATATTTTTATTTTGTTTTTATATTCTTTTATTGTTTTTTGTCTTTTTTCCATTTGTATTTTCTTAATTCTTTTATGTTTTTTTTTATTAATTTGTGGTATACTTTTTTTATACTATTTACAACTTGTATTTACATATTTTAACATGTTTCTAATTACAATGAAGAATTTCCATATTATTTGAAAATATTAAACGATTAAGGTTTATTGGAAAACAACACTTATAATTTATTATTTACCATTAATTCCTTTATAATATGTGTTAGATCGCCTGTTTTGCCAAGTACAATTGGACGTAGTTATGCAAAAACCTACCAAACCACAGATGTTTTGTTTTGAGAAAATCGATAATAATGGTTTAAAATACTTTTTGTTTTAATTTCATTTTTTTATAAGTTTAAATTCAATCAGTAGCCGCTAAAATGAGTTGAACTCTATTTAGTTACGTAGTTACTGATTTGTATTTTTTTTTAAAGATTTTTGTGGATTGGTAGGTTTCTGTATATTATGAAATAGGGTTTTTACACTGAAGTAAATAAAAAACATAATAAAAAAAAACAACATAACTTTTAATTTTGACCATCATTATCATGATTAAAAATATTCTTCTATATTTTGATAAAATCCGTGACAGCCTACCGGAATCAGATGCATCATTTCCCTAAGATTCTTTAGTGTTCCTTCTGAAATTGGTTTTCCGTTTCGCCATAACTTAATAAGATCTAAAAAATACTTCATTTTCTGAGGGGCAATTTCTTTTGGTTTTCATTTTTATGTCAATCTCTTGAAATGGAGCTTTAAAAGAATTTTGTTGAATTATCAGAATAAAGGGTTTATTTTTTTCTATTCGAATACTTCGAATATGAAGCCAGTTAATTTTGGTACCGTCAGTAGCTATTTTTCGGTTCTATCTATCTAATTAGCCTTCTTCGGTCCATCTTTGGCTTTGTGTTTAATGCTAGATCGATCACTTGGTAGCTTAGGGATTATAAGACAACAGAAAGCTATTTTGGGATAGTAGGTTCTTGCAAATCATAGTATTGACGATAAAAAGTCGTTTCATGAGGGTTATTAAAAAATTTCAATTTTGTGGATTGATAGGTTTTTGCATAACTACGTCCAATTGGGAGTATTTGATAAGCCGATTCCATGCATGTAAGATGGTGTAAGAGCATGGTTTGCTCTAAGCCGATTAATGATCTGTATAAAATGTCGATTAGATTTTGTGTAAAACCATCTTCTTGAGGGTATCCTAGTGTTTCAATGATAAAAGTTTAAGTCAGTCTTACAGTCTATCTAATGTAAATGCCAATTATTTTTGTCTACTAACGGTGTCAATATCTGTCGCTGGAATTAAATTTTTGTTAACTTTTTCTCCAAGTATATATGCTGATTTAGCAAAATTGTCAACGATTTCATTGCCTTTTCCCTTGACCATGTAATTGTTACATTATTGCCATCATTTCTGCTGGGTATATTGAACATTCACTGGGTAAGCAATACTGGTGATGGTAATTTTTATTTTCGTGGAACATTGCACAGCCCGTTCCATTTGCATCTTTTGATACATCAGTAAAAATGTACTGATAATTTCTCCATTTTTCTTTAATAATTATATACTTCTCTCCAAAATCAACGCACCACCTCAAATGGACCATTATTTTGAAACTATATTTCTTCTGAACCATTAATTGGATTTCGATGATTTATTTTTCACATTGTAGGTATAGTTCTAATTAATTACTATATTATTGTTTTTTGATAAATGTCAACTTTTACCTATATACTGGGTGTAAAAATAAAGTTGTGTTTTTTTATCTAATTTTGCAACACCCTGTGAAATGAATTAGAAACAAACGCTACATCTTATTAATATTTCAATATAGACTTATCCTTTCTGGACATTTTCATAAAAAAAAACATCTTGATATCTCTATTAACAAAAAAGTTCATATATTATGTATGTTTAAAGTTCATGTATGTTCAAAGTATTGCGTGATTTTTTACTCTTCAAAATTTATTGATGACTGGAAGCACCTATTGTTCACTGATGAATCGACGTATTGCTTACATAGCACAGATAGATGGGTGACGGTTATTAAACGGCAAAGATACCGCTACGCACAGTGTAATATACGCCCTATTACTTTATTCAATGGAGGATCTGTTATGGTTTAGGGAGGAATATCTCTTACTCTTACAGCGCGAACGGACCTTGTTGCTTTACGAAGAGGTACCTTAATAAGTAAAAGGTATATTACAGGCATTTTGTCTAACTATAAATTTTTTTGGTCTTTACGTAGGAAACTGTTTTCTTTTAATGCATGATATTGCTCGACCACATATTGCACGTGTAGTCTGTGATTATTTAGACGAGGTTGGAATACAAGACATGAACTGGCCACGCTGCAGCCCTGATTTAAATCCCATAGAGAATAAGTGTGAAATTCTAGATCGCTAACTCAGGCGTCGATAACCACCACATGTCTTACTTGACGAAATAGAAGTTAGGCTGAGAGAAGTTTGGGATATAATTGATTAAGACCAAACACGCTGCTTGATTTTAAGTATGCCTTGTCGCTGTAAAGAACTAATTAGATATAAACGTAAAAATACTCGTTATTAAGTGTTTTTGAAAGAGGCACTTGTTAAAGAATATTTAGGTTATATTTTCTTTGGTTTTAGTTGTATTAAATGTCAATAAAGTTTATCTAAGTAGTATTTACTTTGCTTTAAATGTTAATAAAAGCTTGTTACATTTAAAGTTCTGTATAATATTTGACAATAGAGGTATTAGGATAATTTTTATTAATAAAATGTAGCATTTCTTTCTAATAAATTCCACAGGGTGTTGTAAAATACGATGAAAAAACACAACTTTATTTCAACACTCCGTATACTAGTGAAACGTTGATATTTTTCAGAAAACAATAATACAATGATTTATTACAAATAGACCTATCATGCGAAAAAAAAATTATCAAAATCAATCATCCATTCAGAAGAAAAATCGCTTCAAAATTATGGTACATTTAAGGCGGTGCGTTAATTTTGGGCAGTAGTGTATCAAACATACTTGGGAGTAAATGTGAGTTTAAATAACATATTTTAACCTTTTTAGAAAATATTGTTTTTGCCATTTCACCGTAGTAGGGAATTTGGCTTTTATAGAGAATATCGTGTTATTTTGCCGTACTTAGATAGCTTTCTACCAAAGATATAGATTTTTTAGTTCTGCAATACCTGTGGGTGAAGTCTAAAACTGATAGTTCATTAAGATTTTGAAGATATTTATAATTGTTGGACATAATTCGGATTGTAAATTTGTCGCTAAGGAATTGGCGGCGTCAATACAAAGGAGGTTCCACCGCTTTGTTGGACTGGAGTGGATTTTAAATAACCCAGGCATAATCTCAGGCATTTATTTTTTTAACTTCAAGTTTGTTTAGATGTGTATTGGCCGCTGATACAAATAAATGACAGTTATAGTCGAAAATCGGTATGATCATGTTACGGTAAAACATCAAAGCAATATTTGAGTCTGCTTCCCAATTTGTTTTACAGAAAGCTCTTAAAATGTTTGAGTTTTCTGATTTTTTAACAATTTGATGAATGCGATCTTTACATAATAATTTTCTGTCTAGATAGGTAGATACCAAGATACTTAATACATTTTTTTATAGGGAAATTAAATTTTCCCATATTAAGATTGCCTTGTGGAACTCGATGTTTTTGTGAAAAGTAATACCTCAGTTTTTGTGTCAGACATTGATAATCCTATTTGTTCATAGAACTGATTTACGATTTCTAATGTGACTTTTAAATTATCCTCACAGGTACTTAACAATTTTCCTGCTATATATAAAACAATATACTCGGTTCGCTATTCCCAGTCCGAACTGTTTAGTGAATTTAGTAATTATTTTGTTGCGAAGTTAGTAACTTTTTGACAGACTAAAAGTGGCTGGAAATTACTATACAACCAAGCACACGTACTCATAGCCAATATTAATAGTAAACAAACTAAAAAGTAAATAAAATAGAACTTTGCGAATTACCGACAATCAATATTTATTTATCTGCACCATATAATAAATAGTTATGTTAATTATAACAACTAAAATATATTTTTTTAGTTATTATAACGTTGTTTAGAGAAGTCTGAAATAGTATACTTGAGCTGTTAATACTGAGAAGTAGGAATTGTTGTGTTGTAGGTTTCGGACAATGAATCTGTCAAAATATACCCGAACTAAGCGAATGGAGTATATCATCAGCCATCCCATAAATGAAAATTGTTTTCAAAATTGGGGTTTTGTCTGGGTACTGTTTGGATATGTTCTTGTATAGTGTCGTCATTTGGAACCCATGCCGGAGCAATGTCATCTTCTGCATCAATAGGTACTTTGTTGGCATTTATGCGGTTTTTAAAATAATTGACTTTTCGACAGACATCTTTTATTGGTGTTCGTGAGTTTAGGCTTTCGCAAAAATCAATCTAATTCTTATTTTTCTTCCGTTTAAAGATTTTCTTTGCAATAGCATCTAGTCGTTTATACTCCATTAGGTTTCGGAGAGTTGGATTATGTTTATAATTTATAAACGCTTGTTTTCTATTTTCGGCTGCTAACTGACAATGATTGTTCCACCATGGTTTCAGAATATGACCTTTGTTTTTTTCTTTAATGGAAGGATGTTTTGGAATAGCAACGTTGGCTGCCTGGTT